CATCTTAATGGAAGGAAAACATGGGGAACTTCAATTATGATTTATGAAAGACAGTTTCTATTACACCCCCCTTTAAGACACTTTAGATGTTAAAAGTAAAAACTTTACCATGCCTTTTTTTTGGGGGGGGGGCTAACATTGAGGCCTTAAAACTGAGGCTCCTGTGCCTGATGGAATTCTTGTAACATACACTTGTGTATCATATAAAGATACCACTGTTTCTCTTATGTATTCTTACTCTAGTTGTTTATTAAGAATGACAAGCACATCTTTTAAAAAAAAAAGAACAAACTCTTCATAATATCATTATTTTAAACATAAAAGGATAAGTGATATGATATGTATGTACAAAAGTCCAGAGGGAAAGGGGCTGAAGGTGGGAAGAGAGTCAAATCATAGGGTTACGGAGTTTGATGGATGAGGGAGCGTGTGACATAGGGTTACGGAGTTTGATGGATGAGGGAGCGTGTGAAGGAATTAGAGAAGTGCCAGTCAGGCAGGACCTGTTAAGATGGGAAAACAGACAGTAGAAACGATGTACAATATTGACAAAGGAATGGTAAAGCACAAAATGTTTAAAGAACGTTTCCTTTCAAATAGAAAATTTTATGAGTGTTTCACTTAATAATTACTACGGGTCATATTAAACTTTGCACATAACTTTACTAAGCTAAAATATTTTGTTTATATCAGTTACCAGAGACTTTAGATTCTTCAAGATTAAACTGTGTACTCTCTAGACTTTGTTCAATACTTAAACAAATTTAAAAGAATGAATAAATTTGTATTTAAATTTTGATTGTTAGACATAAAAATCAAGCTCTGCTGCCCTAGTTCCAAGGAGCTGTGCTTCAACCCAAAGGAACGTACCGTAAATCCACCAGGTGCTTTTTGGAAGAAAGATGAGCAATCTTCTCCTGTGCACTTTACACTTTATGAAAATTCCCTACAGGGTGCCCTACAAGTCAGTTCTAACTCAATGTCACATAAAAGCAACAAATACAAAAATGTTTATGTTGGTTAACACTTTCAAGTCTCTGCTATATGTATGTTTATTTATAGTTATTGCAGTTTTAATTCTAAAAAAGTACATTTCATGTTTCTTTTTCTGTGTGAGATATTAAAATAATAAGTTTAGATTTTGGTAAATATTTCTAAATTAAGTAAGAAATAACAAATCTTGATTTAAATGTTGTAGTTAAAACAAAATTCACTGAAGTATACATATGCTTAAACATCACGCAACACTTCTCATTATTGCCATAATAAAAAGATTTCATTTTATTTTTAGTAATTATAATTCAAAAGCAATATTATCTTGTAGAGACCACAGGTGTCAAATTTTCAATAAAGTTACCAGATGGAAAACTTATTATCTGTATTTCTTGAGTAGATTCAAACTCATAGAAATTCCCTATAGGGTTTACAAGATTGTACTATTTATTTCGTAGATTTCTCTTATGTCAATAAAAAATAATACTTAATATTATAAGATTGTTTTCAAAGAATCTTAAATAAAATATAGCATGGAATTGGGTAAGACATTATAAGTAAGGATAGTTTAAAAATAATACAGTCAGTGTGGGAGCAGCCAGGTCTGAACTCCATTAAATCCACAAAGGGTAACAAGTCCCTCTATGACATTAAGAGCAATAAACTGTTTCCCTTTAAGTTAGACAGGTCTCCATGGTCCCCTGTTTCTACTTTTATAAAATTTAGCACCATTTGTCCTTCATGGGACTCACTGTCCTACTACAGAGTCATAGAGAGCCGACTAGTCCATTGTAATGGACACAAAGATATTGCAGGCAATACTTATGATTACGCAATTTATCAGGCAAATTAACATGTTATTTTGTCAGGTTAGAAACAGTATACTCTCTTTCAGTTCTTTCAGTCAAAACTGTCTTTCAGGAATGCTCTCAAGACTTTTAATTTTCAGCCTTAAGAATTCAGTCCAATATTTCAAATCTAAGGTGCGCCTGATACTGGCCATGGTTTTTGCAATCACTTGTTATGCATCAGAGAGTTGGACAATGACTAGGGAGGATAGAAGGAGAATTGACGCCTTTGAGCTGTGGTGCTGGAGAAGAGTATTGAATGTACCATGGACTGCCAAGGAAACAGATTCATCCTAGAGAGGGTTATACCAGGCTGCTCCTTGGAGGCAAGGATTCTGGGGCTTCGTCTGACATACTTTGGACATGTTGTAAGGAGAGACTGGTCCTTGGAGAGGGACATCATGCTGGGTAGAGTAGAGGGACAGCGCAGGAAGGGAAGACCCTCTATGAGGTGGATTGATTCAGTGACTGGGGTAATCAGGATGGGTGTGTCAGAGGCCACGCGATTGGCACAAGATAGAGCACGGTTTAGGGCTGTTGTACATAGGGTCGCTATGAGTTGCAAATGACTCGCTGGCACATAACAACAATTTCAAATCTTTGTTAAGTCCTGCCAATTATGACATTTTCTGCCCTCTCCAGCCCTTTCTTCTGCTTCTAATCCTCCAACACATTTAGGTAAAGATCTCTAGCTATGGATGTAACTCTGTGGGATGAAAGTCCCTGATCACTTTTGTCTCACATAAATCTCTGGTTTTCTGTCACTGTTGCTGCTGCTGTACTCGCCTAGGTTATCTTCTATCTCACACAACAATCTCTGATCCAAAGGGCTCTCTTAAATTACGGGTTTTTTTTTTCTTTCTGGTAGCAAGATCCCCACATTCTACCTTTAAACCTGTTTAGTCTAAGCTTGACAAGATAGTAAGACAGACGAATCGCTTTATCAGCCTATGCAGTCTTCACACGTTTCTACCCAAAAGGTGGTATTCATTTCATGCAATGATTCGCATTGTCCCACAATGATGTGTTTAAAGTGAGGATACGAAAGTTATTTGGAAAAATCTATGAATTGTATCACATGTAGACAATATATAAACGTCAGAAAACTGGGAGAAAATATAAAGAAAAAAACTTGAGATTATGTTTTGAAAAAGAAAACAAACAATACAATGTATGCCAAGATGTAATTTGTTCCATATTAATCTTCAATTATATACTTTCTGGGACATTAACAATGTGTCAAATATTTAGAAAAATGAATTAGGTATCTTTGAGTTAGTTTGTTGTAATTATCTAATAATCATGGGCTACCTGAAATATTGCCAGCTAACCTGGCTTCTGAAGAGTTCAGTTGTAAAATAAGTATACACTATATTTCTCAGTTCTTTTAACATTTATAAAGCATAAATATGTATAATTTCAGCATTTCTATTTCCACGGAAAACTAAAAATTAAGATTTAAATCATCTATTTAGTACATTCATCAAATGCTTTACATTCAGTAAAGCATTGCTAATCTATAATAAATATAATTAAGAACAGAAACAAAGTGTGTCATTACCAATTGTATTATAGACACTTTCATAATTTCTCCTTAATATGTTTTACCAAAGAAATATTGAAAACCATAAAATCACAAATACTGAAATGTAGTATTTATTCATTTCTAGTTTTGAAAAAATTGCACTGATCGAAAATATTAAGTGATGCACAAGAAAAGCATTTTAATTTAAAGATTTCTCTGTAGTGTATAGTGAAACATTTTTGTTTAAGTCATAAAGTATTAGACCAAATTATTGCCGTGAAAATGAGATTATAGGGAATTCCTTAGTTCTAGGGAGCACTGAGACAGGTCTTTAGAGAGGGACATCATGCTGGGCAGGGTGGAGGGACAGCGCAGGAGGGGAAGACCCTCTATAAGGTGGGTTGATTCAGTGACTGGGGTAATCTGGATAGGTGTGTCAGAGGCAATGGGATTGGCACAGGATAGAGCAGGGTTTAGGGCTGTTGTACGTAGGGTCGCTATGAGTCGGAAATGACTCGACGGCACATAACAACAACAACAACAGCGAGCACTGGTGGCCTAGTGGCAAGAAGATTTGCTGGAATGTTGAAGGCACACAGAATCCATCAACTGCTCCATGGGAGAAATATGGGCAATCTCCCCCTGTTTCATTAACTGGCTCTGAAAGCCCATCAGAGGGAGAGCTGTGGGTCTGTTCTGACTTGATGGCACACAACAGCAACATACATAGATCTGTTGACATAGTGCAATACCAAAAGCCATGCACTACCAACTCATCAGCTGTTCAGCAGGATAAAGATGACCAAATTCTCCCTATGTGATTAGCTGCCTCTAAAAACCCATGTGAGGGTCAACTTTGGGTCTGTTAGTACTTAACGGCACACAACAACAGCATAGTTAATTATGACACTGTAAGATGGAGATTAGTGAGGAAATATGGTATCCACGTTTGCTAAATATTCCATAATATATTAGGACAGGGAATTCACATCAATCTAGGGGAAAAAAAAAGAAAAAAGACCTTAAGCTTTCAGAGAGAAAACGCAGGCTGTGAGACACTGCCATCAAATTGAGCACTTTGGGGGGAGTGACACTTGTGGGGAGATAGGACTGAAATTTCTGTGGGTGTAGTTCCCTATATTTGGGGATCCTTGCCTCCATGGCTGTGGGGTCCAAATAGGACAAGAGAGTTTGAAAAGCAGAGTCACAGGCAGGAGTAAGACTTTCTCAGCTCTCACTGCTGACACATTGAGCTGCAAGAAAGAGAGCTGACTTGAAATCTCACTAAACAGAAACTGCCTGAGTGGATTATCTGGTTTCAGACCACTCCATAGATGAAGGAGGAACATGGAGTTTGGGACAGGAGACACTGCTCATGGAAGACCAACTGAGCAAAGTCCCATTAGAGTCAGTAGGGTGAGTAGGAGTGGTCCTCAGAATGACCTCAACAGTGATCAGACCTATACCATTTTAAACCTGGGAAGAAATGTTCTCCACTAATGTGAGAGAAGAACCTCGATTAAACATTTTGGACTTGATTCCAGAAGCCAGCTCATGTGCAGGGCGTGGGAAATTGCATTGGACATAAAAAGTAGCCCCTTAACACAAAAGCTACACCTACTGACTACTGATTTCCTCTGTCACAGCCATACTGTGCCACAACGTGTAATTCAGAGACACAGACACACTCTATCTGGGTTGTATAAAAGCCCAAGCCAAAAAAAACCGCAAAAAACAAAAAAGCAAACAACCAAAAAACCAAAAGCCCAAGCCACAACCACCACTAGTACACAGCCTAATGAGTAGCAGCCTAGTAGACTCCTGAATTTGCATTGTGATTCTGCCTTACAACCAGCCCCAAAGGCATGGGCTGCATCCATTTCTGGCCAGCCACAGGTGAACAATTTAAAGGTGTGATGTTTTTGCTGTATTCAGTCAGGTCAGAAGTGACTCATACATGACCTGTGGTGAGTTCCTGGAGGCTGTCGATCGTACAGGAAAAAATTACCTGCCATTTTCTTATGGAGAAGTTTGTGGATTCAGGGTGCCTGCTTTTGAGTTGGCAGTAAAACTCATTGCCACTGGCCCACCAGAATTCTCCAAAGATGCAATGACATGAGAAATTACTGTATGGTAGACACACTGAAATACAGATAGAGGAAAACAGAACCACAATAAACAATGTCAGATACATAGTGTCGGAGAATCAGAAGTTCAGTGACCCAGCAAGTTTACTGGACATACAGACAAAGATGCAAAGACCATTTGCATAGTGGTTATGAGGGAAAGGCAACAATTCACCTGCCCCATCAGTAGGCTTATTTCAGCCTTACCCTCACTGAGACCTCATCACATATGAAGTAGAGACTTCAGATATTCCATTATAAAAAGGTTCAGCAAATACAATCTTTGCCCAATATTAGCCTACAACTATCAGTAACCACCATCCCCCAACTAACAGCATGGCACAAACAACAGAAATTGTACAAAAACCTCCACTGACAATCATACACACTCCTGAGGAAAGGAGATTTTTTTTAATCTACAATAATACATAAATCACAATGACTTGGAAAGAGCAAACAAACTTCAAACCCCATAAAGCATAGTAAAAGAAAATATCATAAAAAGTGATAAAAACAGATATAGTATATCTCCTGGGAGAGGAAGATTTGATAGAATTCTCTGAGGGGAAATTCAGAAGAATAATCATTTAGTATTTTTACAGGATAAAAGAAAAATATGCAGAATTCACGTAATCTACAAACAAAGCTACAGAAAACTTAAAAAAATACAAAACATACGGATAAAACCAATGGAATATAAGAAGACATAGAAAAACAATAAGATGCAAATCAAGAAACAAAGCAAATATTTCAGAAGCTGTCAACATGTTAGAGTGACAAAAAATCAGAATTGAAAAGATGGAGAACATATTTAATGAAATAGAGGCAAAAGTATTAAATAATGAAATAAAAGTAAAAGTATGAAATACTAATATGCTAGAAGAAAAAGCCAAAGCAAGAAATACAAGAATATT